ATAAAACCATCATTCACCAATCCCTTCCCCACGATTCTACTTTCCGTTCAATCTGTAAGAATCATACAATCGATGATACAGTTAAAACCAACATGACAACTCTCTCACCAACATTACCAACTCTCACGAGTTGCAACACAAACAAATTATCCAACCATCCAATACCAAGCAATGCTAAACTTTTTGCTGCTTAAACCAAGGTAACACTCATTCAACCTACAATATGGTCGTCATCTTCTCTTCTTTCCAGTTGTATTAATGTAAGATTTCTTTTCATATCATTCAACACACAAATCATTACTCAATATATTCAAATTGAACTCCCTTTGTAAAGCCGAATTTTCATGTCCTGTTTTCCAAACACCTAAGAGCATCTCCAACCCGCACTGGATATCTGGCGGAAACGGCAACTGTGGAGGAAAATCCTCTCCAACCCACTCTCTTCATCTGGCGGAAACGGCATGCCTAATTTTGTGGAAAGGTTTGGCAACCGTTCCACTGTTCATCCGCTTCATCTCTTCTTTTTTTTTTTTTTTATTTTGTTAAAAATAAAATTGGGTTGTATTTTTAGCCTATTTAGATGTATTTTGGTTGTGCTTTTTAATTACAAGTTGGCTAATTGGATTAATCAGTTTTATTTTAACTAGTGTAATGAAAAATTGAATATTTATTAATTATTATGATAGAATATTAATTAGTATTTAAATTCTCTTAAGTAAATATTACAAAGAAACAAGTTAAAATTACAGAATAAGGATAAACATTCAACTCACTTTAAATTAACGGTACAAACACTAAAACTAAAATCAAAACATAAAGATAAACTAAAACACCCATCTTAAAGCTCACACATAGTACAACAACGATAATTAATACGGAACATAAAAACTAAAAAAGATTATAAAATAGACGATTTAATAGACTTAATTGTCACCATAATAATCATTCAAATTTCCTCTGGCATGCCCAATGTCGTCGAGAAATCCAAATTGATCCGTGTTAGATGATGGTGGTGTTGCTTGAGATTGTTGTTGCTCAAATTCTCTTTCTTACAAAATTTGCATTTGTTTTTGTTCCCAATGTTGACGGATCACGGGATTCGTAAGGGTATTCAAATCTATCATCAAAATTCTATCTTCATCCCTCTTTTTCTGCAAATCAAGTTGTTGTTTCTGCAATTGAAGTTGGACACTTTGACGTTCTTCGGCCTTCTGCAACAAATCAACAATAGTATCACTTAGCATTTAGAGTATTAAAATACTGGCAAAATTGGTCTTCAATTTTGCTTTCTTCGCTCCCATTGGACGTTCAGCGGATGTTCCACCAACACCATCGTCACTTTGTTGGGGACTAAAAGACGACAATCCCGGAGACTCTGGTGTTGGTTGTCCATCATATGAAACGTCGGACTCGGAAGAGTCATTGAGTGTATCGAAATCCCGACGACGAGATCGTGGTTAGGAGACATTATCATCAAAATTTCCAAACTCTTTGAATAGTCGGAACACATGTTGGAACTTGAAGCCATCTTTATATTTTGGGTCTTGTTCAAACAATCGTTCGGCTTGTTCAATCTACAAACAAAGTAAAAAATATATAATTGTAAGTATACCTATAAAACAAGCAAATAACATGATCCGAGATTGAACTTAAAACAAAGTACTCACCCTATCTTGGATTTGTGTCCCACTAGGATTGCGATATTCGATTTGATTCAAGCATCCATTAAACCTCCGACAATGAGTTTCCATGAGGCGGTAACGAGAGTCAAGAGACCTTATAGAGCGTTCTGGTAAATCCTTGTGTTTTTGGGAGTTGTATTCATCATGTATTTTTTTCCAAAAGGTTGAAGAACTTTGGTCATTTGATGATATTGGATTATGTGAAACACTTATGTAGCATCTCACAATTAAGACATCTTCGGGTTTGGAGTATTTTGGCCCTTTTTACGAAGACATTTTAAAGAAAATAAGATATTCAAGAAGAGTGGGAAGAAGAACACTTCAATAATGGAAGAAGAAATGAGATATGTGTATGTTTGCTTCTTAAAGTGTGATCTATAAATAGAGAAATGAATTCACATGCAAAACAAGTATAGTGACTATATAAAGGAACCCAATGCAAGAGAAATCAATGTCACCTAATTGTTTATTATTTGTCATTCAATATAAAAGAATCCAATGATGCAAAGTAATCTAATGCAAAGTAATAATGTAAAGTAATAATGATCACATGGCCTTGTCCGAAATTATTGCATTTGCCATTGTGTTGGTCAAATTTTTTTCACATGGCATTGTCTGAAAAAGAATCCAATGGTTAGAATCCAATCCAAGGATCACATGGCATTGTCCAACAATAATGTAGTGTAATAATGATCACATGGCGTTATCCGAAATTATTGCATTTGACATTGTGTTGGCCAAATTTTTTTCACATGGCATTGTCTGAAAAAGAATCCAATGGTTAGAATCCAATCCAAGGATCACATGGCATTGTCCAACAATAATGTAGTGTAATAATGATCGCATGGCCTTGTCTGAAATTATTGCATTTGGCATTGTGTTGGTCAAATTTTTTTCACATGGCATTGTCTGAAAAAGAATCCAATGGTTAGAATCCAATCCAAGGATCATATGGCATTGTCCAACAATAATTTAGTGTAATAATGATCACATGGCCTTGTCCGAAATTATTGCATTTTGGTATTGTGTTGGTCAAAATTTTTTCACATGGCATTGTCTGAAAAAGAATCCAATGGTTAGAATCCAATCCAAGGATCACATGGCATTGTCCAACAATAACGTAGTGTAATAATGATCACATGGCCTTGTCTGAAATTATTGCATTTGGCATTGTGTTGGTCAAATTTCTTTCACATGGCATTGTCTGAAAAGGAATCCAATGAAGAAAACATGTATTAATTTTATTAATCCATTCGTCTATATAAACATGAAACTATGCATCATATCATCCAAGCTACATATTACATTCATTATCAAATATTTCTGTAATATTTCCTTCTAATATCATTCACAATGAATTATCTTCCTCCTTATAATTATGATTCTGATGAGGAAGAGGCAAATGCTTCATTGCCTCTTTTTGATAACACTTTGGAATCAACCACCACTCATATATTGCAAACCAATAATTTTTTTATGGCACATACTCTCTCCGCGCAAAGTAGCCAACCAACTTGGGGAGGTTCTGTTCCGGGACATAGAGTAGTCCATCGTGATCGGGAGGAGGCCCATCGCACTCTGTTTCGAGATTATTTTAGTAGTAATCCAACCTACGATGAAGATACATTTCGTCGAAGGTTTCAGATTTCTATTCACAATTTCAAACGTGTTTGCGAGCATTGGAAAATCATGATAATTTTTTCCAGCAACGTCGGGATGGTCTTGGTCGACTTGGATTGTCAACGTATACAAAAAGGACAGCGGCGCTTCGTCAGTTGGCCTATAAAACTCCAACAGATGGTGTTGATGAATATCTTAAGATTGCTGAGTCAACGGCCAATGAATGCGTAAAGAGATTCTGCCATGGAGTCGTTGAAGTTTTCGAAGCACAATATCTGAGATCACTAAATCACGATGATATTGCTAGATTGCTTCATATTGGTGAACAACGTGCTTTTCCAGGTATGTTAGGTAGCTTGGACTGCATGCACTGGGAATGGAAGAATTTCCCTAAGGTATGGGCTGGTCAATACGTTAGACGTTCCGGAAAGCCAACAATCATTTTGGAAGCTGTGGCAGATTATGATCTATGGATATGGCACACATATTTTGGTATGCCAGGTGCGAATAATTACATTAATGTGCTGGAAGCATCACCTCTAATGTCAAATCTTGCTGAAGCTATCGCTCCACCAGCTAATTGCACCATTCAAGGTAAACAGTTTAATATGAGTTATTATTTAGCAGATGGTATATATCCAAAATGGTCCACTATTGTTCAGTCCTTTGTTGCACCATCAAATCCAATGGAGAAATACTTTAAAATGAGACAAGAGGCATGTAGAAAAGATGTTGAGCGTGCTTTTGGAGTTCTGCAAAAAAGGTTTGCAATCATCGCGGGTCCTGTTCATTTTTGGAAAAAAAAGAGGTGCTTAATGATATAATGAAAACATGTACTATTTTGCACAATATGAATGTCGAAGAGGAACGTGATCTTAGTGCGCCAATTAGAAGTGATGTTCAATTTGGTGCTCATACGGTTACTCCAGCACCGCGAGATCACGTCTCTTTTCAACAATTTCTTGCTCGACACAAACGAATCAAGGATAAGTCTGCCCACTATGAACTTCATAATGCATTGGTTGCACATTTGTGGGAAAAATATTCTCATGGCAATAACTAGTGTTGTATTTTGTTTTCCGTATTTCTTATTGTATTGAATGCTTCATGTTTGTATTGATATTTTTTTTTTTTAAATTATTGTTTGTGATGTAATCCACGTGGTCTTATGATGTTGTGTGTAATTTTATGATTTTGATTTAAATTTATTAATTAATCTTATTAATCAATAATTAATATATATTCATAGATATGTAAATTTTAGCAAGCATAATGCATTAAAATGTAATTTGTAGAGATTATTTAATAAACTAATAAAATTAGAAAAGAATATGCTTAGAATATTCTTTTTAGAGGGGAATTATAGAGGAAATGGATTGGAGTTGCTCACACTGTTGAAACTGTAAACTAGTGGGATTTTACTGTAGAAACTGTATGGATAGAGAATATGGTTGGAGATGCTCTAAGAATCATCAGCTCTGTCAATTCGAAAGCAAGAGTTAGTTATAACCAACAATCTGGAATTCATTTCACAACAGCCTTTTGTTCTTCCATTTGAACTCATTTCAATAATTCCTTTAGTCAGCTTTAACACGAAAAAAATTCACCCAATTAACCATAGTATCCCTAACAGAACAACCCTGCAACAAAAAACAAATAGACCTATCGGCCGTATTAGCAATCGTCTTAAACGCCAACATGATAGCCCTGTCCGGATCCCAGCCTCGATTGTGCAGCCAGGCCAGGGACGGGTCCCCGCCCGACCCGTTCACCCCCCTCGAGATCACCGTCGTGAGGGCCGCGTCCCCCAGGAGCGGGTTCATGGGCCCGTCAATACGGTTCGGGTCGTGGTCCCTTAATCGTCAGCGAACGTTCTCAACTCGGACGTCTCGTCAATCGAGCGGGCCTCGAGCACCAGGCCACACTTCGAGCAGAACGTGTCGCCTGCCGCATGATCGAACACTACCTTCGTGCTCCGCTTGCAGTCCGAGCAATACGTGTTCGTCATACTCGGCGGCAGCAGTTTTAATGGGTCAATCAAATTGGGTGGAAACGATCGACGAACGGAATCGGGTGTGGGTTGAAATTCTTGATTTTGTTGGAGCAGTGAGTCAACTCACTCGTTCGCCAGAATCTGATCATGCAGAAAGGGGAGAAAAGAGAGGCGGCGGTTGCGCTTGTCGACGGAGGTGTAGGGCCGGTGGGTGAAGTCGCAGGTGGATTTGGGGAATCGGGTGTGGGGTTTCGGGTTCAGGTCGGACGGGTTGACGCAGTGTCGTGGGTTAGCAGGTAGAGGAGCGAGAGGGTCACTATGGCTATGGCAATGGAGGTGAAGAGGAGGATTTGCATGTGCTTCTCCATGGATTGATCGCTCCGTATTCATTCCTNGGGAGAAAACATGTTTGACAATTAAATTAAACTAGTACGACACCCGTGTACTACACGGGATGTTTGAAAAAAAAAATATAAAACATAAAATAATAGAAAAACACATGTTGTCGTTTAAAAGTGCAAAAATAGAAAATACCAAAGTCGATATTATTTCAAATTTTGATAAATTTCTTTGTACACCACATTAATAGTTTTATTTAAAAATTTTCCATCCTTATCGCAACACATAATTTTCAAGTCTCTCCTACTTTTAACTCTAGATAATGCAACATAAAGTTGACCATGACTGAATACAGGATTAGACAAGTACAATCCGACATTAGACAATGTCTGTCCTTGACTCTTATTAATAGTCATTGCAAAACAAACCATAAGTGGGAATTGTCTTCGTTGAAACTTGAAAGACAATCTCACATCAGAATGAGTCAATAACATTCGCGGAATAAGTACTTTGCTCTTAATATTCCTTCCCGATAGAACCTTGGCCTCAACAATGCGATCTCGAAGTCGAGTGATGACTAACCTGGTGTCATTACACAACCCATAAAATAAATAATGATCATTTATTAAAGTTATCAGTTTTTCATTATAATTAAAAAGTAAAAACATTACAATAATGATAGATAATAAATTAGTTAAGATTTAGGAATGTATAAATGCCAAAAAAATAAAAGAATGGTCGAGTGATCGCTCACCTGGTGCCATTACACAACCCAGAAGATTGATCCATGTTTCGAAGCAGTATTACATGAATACCAACTTTCAATTTTAAGATGTGATTAGGAACTCCATCTTTAAAAAAAAAAAAAAAGATGTGATTAGGAACTCCAGAGCATTTTATTGCATTTAAAAAATCGGTTGTGTACACTGAATGCCGTTTTGTCGCCTTGCATCTATAAAGGACTTTCTGAACTTTCTTGCTTGACTGGATGGAGTGTCTGACATCGAATATATAAAAAAAAAAATATATACTGTTTGGATTTTACATAAATAAAATATTATCCTTTATCTAATAATTAATTTATAATTATGTAAGTTGCATATATTATATATAATACAAAATTTAAAAGTAAACCCATAAAATATACTCACCCGAAACAATAGTTTCAATGCCTGCAGGAGATAGTCCACACTTTTCTTTCATTTTCGTCATTCTAATGTGTCTAATAAGTTTTGTATTTTCTTTATCCATTATTTAAATACCTACAAGATGCACGAACAAGGCGGATTTAAAGTCAATAAATATAATAATTTATTATAAATGTTTAAAGTCAAGATTGTATATGATCCCACTTTTAAAGAGAGGTTGTACGGTTTAACCCCCAAAACAATTAGGGAATGGAGGGGATTGGATTAAGCCAAAATATATTATAATATTGGTATAGATACTTAACCCGTGTAATTTTTGTGGTTCAATATGGATAGGATCCTATTTACACGGCATATAAGAATCCTATTTATTTTGGAGTTGGAGAGGATCGGATTAAGCAAAAATAATTTTTATCCGAACCAAAAGCCGAAGCATGTGATGTTGCCAAGTAAGCTTCCGGAGCGTGCGAGCCAGCCATTTAGGCTCAGCACGTTTTGAAATTATATTAAGGGAGATGGTTAATAATAATATTAATATATATATATATATATACATATATGGTTCAAATAAAAATTAGTTCTGGTGTGAGAACCGTATTTGATGTTATTTCTTGTTGTGTATGATGCTATTTTTAATATTATATGGTGCTATCATTTTCACAGATTCTAATATAAATTGTGTTGCTATTTTTAAGAAAATAGATCCATGTTAAAAATAGCACTAAAACACAATCAATCATAGCACTACGTACAACTATAAATAGCGGTTCTCACGGTTCTCACGTTAGGACTTGGTTCTCATTTGAACCACATCTTATATACATATATATATATATATATATGTCTATATATATATATATATATGGGTACTTGTGAGGAAAGAGAGAATTATGTTAGGGAGTGCAGAGGAAAAAAAAGACATAGAGACTTAACAAGAAAATGAAAAAGGGATTAGGAATTTATTAGGAATTAACCGTTAATTTAAACTACAACTGAATATATCAAAGTAAATAAATATTTTATATTACTAATATAATCAAATAGTAAAAACTATCAATTATTACTCATTTTCCAATAAAATTCACTATTGATTCACTCACATATTTTTTTTAATATCTATCATTTATAATCATTATTTTACAACTTATATCAAATCAACTTCAATTATTATATTTTTTCTCATAGTCATTCACAGACTCAAAATTAATTCAATATTCCACTGGACATTTTTTTTTCACTTTCTAACTCCCTTTATCCACCAATTACACATCAAAAAAGTTATTTTCTTTCTCTTTGACTTTCCCCAAATTTTCCATTGCTTGAACCTAATTTTTTTGAGTTGCGTTGGTCGGCGAGGCCGCCGGGCTCCTTGATTATTGAGTTTGTCTGTGAGTGTTTTTTTGTATTTCTTGTTTTTTTCCTCCTTTTTAGTGTTATTATCCTTTTGGACTCAAAATTCTTTTGTTGGGAGTTACTTATTATCGTGAGTGCATTGTGGTATTTAGGCTCCTTTGGGAGTGTCCTTTCACTAGATTCGACTATTGGTTGAGTTCTAAGTGTAATTATGTGTTCTATTTATAAATTCTTATCGTTCTAAACAAAAAAATAAAAATAAAAATAAAAACTCTCTTTATCCAATCATTTTTTTTCTAATTTCTCAAAATAATTCATATCCAATCACACAAAGTTTGGGTCCCTTTGAAAAACAAAACTACAACTGAATACATCAATGTAAATAAATATTTTATTTTACTAATATAATTAAATAGTAAAAACTATTAATTACTACTCATTTTACAACACAATTCACTATTGATTCATTCACATGTTTTTCATATCTATCATTTATAATCATTATTTTGCAATTTATATATCACATCAACTTTAATTACATTTTTTCTCATAGTCATTCACAAACTAAAAATTAATTTAATATTCCCTTTATCCACCAATTGCACATCAAAAAAGTTATTTTCTTTCTCTTTGACATTCCCCAATTTTTCCATCGGTTGAAACTAATTTTTTTGAATTGCGTTGGGCTCTCTGATTATTGTGTTTGTGTTTGAGTGTTTTTTTATGTGTTTCCCTGTTTCTTATTTTTTCTCTTTTTTAGTGTTATTGTCCTTTGGGATTTAGATTTTTTTATTGGGTGTTAGCTATTATCGTGAGTGCATTGTGGTATTTAGGCTCATTCGAGGGTGTCATCTCACTAGATTCGGCTATTGGCTGAGTTCTAAGTGTATTTACGTGTTCAATTTATAAATTATTATCGTTCTAACNAAAAAAAAAAAAAAAAAAAAAAAACTCTTTTTATCCAATCAAATTTTTTTAACTTCTCAAAATAATTCATATCCAATCACACCAAGTTTCGGTCTCTTTCCAAAATAGAAAATCACACCAAGTCTCAAAATAATTCGTGTCCAATGTCTCTTTGCAAAATAAAAAATGCAACATAGTATATTTTGGGCAATAACTTGTATTTGATAGAAATGAAATAATATTAGATCTAGACAATATGAAATAAGAAAAAATAAATTTAAGGTATAAGTGAATATATTTTAATTGTTGGAAAGTTTTTGAATCGGCGAAAGAAAATTAGCGGAAAGATATTTTTTTATAGATGATATAAATAAAGAATAATAATTAGTCGTGATATTATAATAAATTAATAAAATAATTATTAGTTACAACTATGTAGGTGATTCCGTATGAAATTTTGTAGATAGATATATAGTGAAAATTGATTTTTAATTTAAAATTGCATGAAAAAATGTGAGTGAAGAAAATAGATAAAATGAGATAAATGAATGGCGTATATTACTTGCATCTTATTTTAGACAACTTTAAAATATTGTGTTAGAGTGGTTGTATAATCTATTTTTCTTTAAACTAGCACGTAGCCCGTGCGATGCACGTGACATAAGTATTAATGAGTTATTTCCACAGAACTTGTCCGTTAAGTAGCTCGTGCGATTCACGAGAGATATTAAATGAGTGGACTATAGGACTTGTCCGTTCAGGCCTAAATCACATTTTCATCAATGTCATTTTTTTTGTCGGAACATTAAACCTGAGTCTGGTAGCGCTAGCCCGTAAATTAATTAATATATTATCTCGCTCACATGTTTATAATAATATAAATTTGATTTCATTATGTATATTTATTCATTGATATAAGAAAAATAACAATTTTACGTAATCTTGTTCCTCGTATAATACTTATATTATTTCATTATAAAATTTATTGTAGTATAATGTCATTATTATTATAAGTTATAGATGTAATCTTCTTCTTCTTTTTGTTTTATGTAATTAGAATATTTAATGTATGTTCATATTATTTATTAATGTAATTAATTTAAATTATGTAAATAAATTTAAAGTAAAACATTTTGTACAAACATTTTACAAAGTATACACAAATGTTTTTTAGAATTTAATTTTTTTACAATAAATAACAGCTTTGAAATTCTATGCAATTATTAAAATCGATTAAATTTGCTTTATTAAAATCAATTAAATCTTTATTTATAGGCTTGACATTAAAACCGATTTTATGAGATTATTTTAACTAAACCGATGTTATGGAATAAAATAAAAAAACAGTTCTGATTTTTATCCCATAACAAATCTTTAATGTCAAACTATAAATACCAAAATAAATCTATAATTAATGTCATTCTATTTCCAGCAAACATTAATTACTTTTGACTTTTTTTTATACTAAATCTGGTAAATGGGATACCTTTTAATATAAGTATAGATATATTCACATCTTATTTTAGACAACTTTAAAATATTGTGTTAGAGTGGCTGTATAATCTAGAGTGGCTGTATAATCTATTTTTCCTTAAATTTATCCACATCCTTCAGACCTAAGTCTATTATTTTTATTACAACAAAGCAAAATAAGCATTATGCGTGCTCTAATCTATATATATAATAAGAATTAATATTTATCAAAAATAGTAAGTCAATCTTTGGTCAAAACTGATCAGCATTAATTACATGCTATTTATAGTATATTTTTAATATATTTTTTACTAAAAAAGGGACAACATTAAATATTGTCCTTAAAATGAGCAGTTTGTTATTTTTTTTTATTTTAAAAAAAGTGGGCTGCGATTTAAATTTAGTCTAACGAATATTTGCGATGGTTTGACACGATGTATATATCAAAAACTGATAATGCACAGGCTGCATCAATTAAATTTGGTTATTGGTTACAATAAGCTATTTTTAAATTTGAATAAAAATGTACGTCACGACTGCTAATTCAATTAAACATCGGCCAATTATATTCTCCAAATTAAAAAACCAAATATTCTGCTAATACAATTGCTTTGCTTGACATATTTTTTTAATAAAAAAATTACGACTAATTTAGTAATAAAAAAAATTATGGGTTATTTTTTCTAACCATAAAAATATGCTTTTGTATTTTTAAAATATCGGAAACTTTTTTTTTTCTATAAAATCGGCTAATACATATGTTTTGATTAGCAAATTTTATTTAAACAAAATTACGGCTAATTTAAGGGTAAAATTATAAAACAAAATTAAAAAAATTATTTGTTTATTTTTTTTGAAAACATTTTTCTAACCATCAAATCGGGCAGTTTTAATTAAAAGAATAAAGTTGCGGCTATTCAATTGTTTTGTTTGATAATTATTTATAAAGAAAAATAATGTACGGGTCTAATTTTGAAACGATCATATTTTTTATGATCTTTGTTTAAATCAGAGATTTGAAATAAGAATAATCTCCATAATTAAATTGCTTTAATTGTAAAACGTGATGTATACAAGATTTAGATAGATTTATCACATATCATCCTCTAAATTAATGATTTTTTTTTTTAAATTTTAAAATACCAAATCAAATTTTTTATGGTCTTTGTTTAAATCAGAGATTCAAAATATCTTAATCTCTATATTTAAATTGCTTTAATTGTAAAACGTGATGTATACAAGATTTAGATAGATTTATCACATAACTCCCCTAAATTAATGATTTTATTTTTTTCTAGGTTTCAAAATACCAAATCTTAAAGTTGCGGCTGATTTAGTTATTAAACGATATTTTGCAATCATAGATTCGAGTTATCTTCAAATTCAAAATTTAAATTGCCGATATGTAGATCAATTTGGACAGATTAAATACATATGATCTAAAATGAAGGATTTTATTCCATTAAAAACAAAAAATATGAACTTAAGATGTAGATTTTATTTTGCACGTGTGATAATACAATATTACATGCTATGAAAGTCATATTGTTTACCTGTGCATCGCACGGGCTATGCACTAGTATAATATATATGTCATATTTCGTTTTTTAATTAAAAATTAATGTATTTACTGCAATAACAATATATTAGAAAAAATATATTTTGCTCTTCTAAGTGCTCCTGTGTATTCATAAACAATTTTAAAGTTGTCCATAAGAATACAATATTAACAAATGTGCTGAAAGCTCACAAACTTGGAAGCATGCTGTTGAAATTTTTGTACCAAATGTGTGGCTTGGTAATTTGATTTAATTAGTAATCACACAAATGTTTTTGGAACAAAGGACCAAATTGTTTGCACGCGGCTTGATTTATATATTTTGAGCAGCTTAATTTATGTGTGACCTACATATATACCTTTTTGTTACTTTTCAAGTTAAGAAGACCTTGAATAAAACATAGCTTTTGTAGGAGAGTCTCCTATTTGTGACCCCAAAATAATTTATACTTATATTTATCAATGCACTCATGAATTGGATTTTATTGAACTTAGAAGTCTACTAAGTACTAATCTTCTTAAGGGGATTCAAACAGATATATGACCTGTGACACAACAAATTGCAATTATATTTGATTCAAACAAATCAACAAATTCTTTTTATTCACCCTTCTTCAATTAATCAGTAGAAAAGTGCACTACAGAGACATGCATTACATTACATGACTTCAGTTTGAACAGATTATTTGGTATCATATGTCAATCACAAAATGATGATCATATACAGCCTTTTTTCAGTCCTCTGTTTTCCTGAAAAACACAGACATCAAATTGCTAATGTACATTCCAAGCACGAAAGCCAACAGCAATGCAACGGCCACCGTCACCTTCTGCCTCGCCATCTTCAGTCTATATGCCGGACTTTCTGCTTCTACCTTATAATCGTCCAGTTTAGCTGCATTTTGTCTGTTTTCGTCTGTTTTCTTGTTACCTTCTGGCACGTGTTTTGTGGGTTTTAGTTCTTTGTTCTCGGTTGATTCATTTGGGGTCGTTTTCTGTTCTGGTGGCTCGTGTGGGGATTTTGAGGGTGAATCTTTTTTTTCCTCTTTGTTATTATCGTCTGGGACAATGAGCTTCGGCTGCCTCACGTAGAGTATGCCGTCTTCGAATTTGGCGGTGATTTTTGTTGTGTCGCAATTTGCCGAGACTGGAAAATCCTTCTGAAAGCTGCTCCACTTGTTTTCGCCCGTCGCCCGAGTGCCGCTGATTTTCAGGAGCCCTGATTTTGTTAGCTGGACTCTCAATTGCTCTTTTGTGAAGCCTGTGAATTTTTATTAATTTTTATTTAATAAAAGAAAGAAAGTATGGCTGACTAACGATTGGACAGTCTAACAACAACAGTATTTGTAGTTTCACATGAGTTTGAGGCCAAAAGATCAATTTTTACAAAAACAACTTTTTTAGTGATTGCTTTGAAAATTATGAATTAAACACAATACCAGGAAGATATACGAGGAGAGTGTCGCATTCTGCCTCTTGCACGAAATCAGAAAGGGGTTCAAAAATGTTCGTGTTTGCGGCTGCAGCTCCTCTTCTCGCGTCCATGTCTTTAACAAGCTGTGTAATTAGATCTGATTTTTTTTTTTTTTTTTTTTTTTTTCTCNTCGTGTATGTTCTTAGTAATGTTTTTGTTGTGATGGGTGGTGATATGTTATATACCAAGCAAATTTTGTGTTCATTTGAAGAAAACAATTTTTGGAGGTCCTTTGCCTTTTCTTTGAGAAAAGATATACCTTTATTGGCATGCAGTGTTTCTTCAATTGTGAATCTTCTTTTTTTCTGCAGGTCCAAAGATTGAAGCTTATTCTTTTTACACCTCATAGTTTCTAATTTGTGGCTTCTTGCTGAGGCAAGGAACAAAAAGCTTTCCAGTCTACATTAGCCCCAAAACAGGAACTGCTCAGGGTGGGTTAATTTTGTTTTTGGCTAACTTTTGACCAGTTTTACTATATTTTTTAAATCAAATATGACGGCCTTTGATGCAAAATATAATACTTTTTCAAATGTTTTTAATTTTTATGAGAAATTTTTATTTTTTCTATGAAATTATGCATTTTTTCTTAAAAGAAAATAGGTTTGGTCGATTCCGGTAATTATGCAATTGTGTTCTTACTGTTACTATACTATCAAACCTGCGGCACTTCTATCTATCTATCTATCCATTTGTAAAAAATTACATGAATTAACAAATCCTTGTCTTTAATATAATAATATAATTTTAATGATAAAACTGTAATAACAATATAAGTATAGAAACATTCTTAAAAAAATGGTATACTAATGTCATTTTAGCACAATCATCATATATAAAGTTTTTTACAATATACAAAGTCGGGAATGTTAAATATGCAAACTTCGACAAAAAATCTCTCATCCAGGCATCAACAATAGAGAGAAGAACATACGCATCTCTACTGTACATTAGGTTGTTACTGTTTCAATTTTTTACATTAGAAACTTATTATTTTTCATTTATTTTACATTGATATTTAAATATGTTATCTCGATCTCTTTATATTACGAACTCTTGATGTTATTGTATTTAAATTTTAAATTAAGAACTAATTTTATTCAATTTTAAATGTTATTCCACCACTGATATTTTTAATATTTTTTTTCTTTGCTACAATATTAATTAGCAAATATATTAATCACCACGTGCATAGCACCTACACTTTACTAGTATTATTATAATAAGACGAATGATTTTGTAAAAAAATTAACTACATAAAAA